GCAGGACGAGACAGAAAAATGGATTGTATACTCTGAACAGGTCTGCCTTACAATAATATGTTTTAAATGTTTTTCTTTCTTTAAACAAAGATACTGATAACAGGGAACTGCAAACTTAAGGCTTGACCGATCAGAAACAAGCTATTTAAATGAACGGTGACAACGACATACTTATAAATTCACTTGATTTTGTCTGGAAATTAACTATGTTTTTAACTGTTTCTTTTAAACTGGATTTTTATTTTTTGCCAAGTATTATCTCAAAATCTTTTTGTTCCTTTCTTTTTTATTTTTCAGAATGCTAAAGGCTTACAGGCGGGCATCGACAGTGCCACCATTGAGCAGAAGTTTGTGGACTATAGAGGGACAAATGGGGAGTCGGTCATCAACTTTACCGCTGGGACTCAACGATACACACTGGACTTCACTGCAATGGAGCAGACTAATGTCCGATACGGTACACGCAGAGAAGTCCGGCGAAGACCCAAATTTGTAGCCATGGACGAACGCAAGATACTGGCAAAGTGAGAAATTTTTTTTCTTTTTGAGTTACGAAGTTTTGAACAAAAAAAAAACGATCATTTGAATTGTCGACTGCTGTGAAAGGACATTGTGTTTTTGTACACCGGAGGGACACATGGAACCCAAGGTGCATCCTTGCAGGGTGGGTAAAAACACAGAACAGAACAAATGGAAAAAAAGAAACATGTCCAACATCACACAGTCAACAGTTGTTGTGTTTTATATTACATCAAGACAAAAAAGGCTTAGGCTAGTTCATGCTTGGTATTAAAGTGAACATGTATATTTACATAATAGTAAGGTACATTAGTAACAAAAATGCTAAGGATCGTTACACAGTGGACAAAAGCACCATTTTTTCACCAAAGCATCTCCATGGTTGGGATGTGTGTGAACCTTGATATTTGTTAATGTTGAGTACAGAATGCTAGCAATGTCAATGAAACTTTTAAATGAAAGAAAAACCTTCAGGGGAAAGGTATGAACTTTTGCCCCTATTGAAAGATCGAATGAAAAAAATCGTGGCCTGCTTTAAGGCCCCTGAAATGTTGGACTCTGGATGCACTGTGATGAAATATACTGAAGTGTATACTTAAACTTATAAAATCCGAAAGGGTGTTTTTTGGTTCAAGTTAAAACAAAATGGTTCCACTGGAAGCAGGTGAATTTCTGTTCATAAAAATATTCACATAGGCCTAAACGATGTAGCTCTTGATATATTTGCAGTGTTATTTGTTTTTTACAGGGAATGGCAAATATAAAAGATTAACAAACCAAATGCATCTTTATGTTTATGATCGGTAGGTTGCAAGTTTGGGGCTAGGCAAGGATTTATCGGTCTACTGAGTTTTTATGAGAAAAAACTTGCAAAGGGTAATACATGAATAGCTTCTTTATTAAAACGAAACTACACTGGAACTAGTTTCAATGGAAGCCCGTCCCACTCCTATTAGGTTGGGATGTGTGTGAACCTTGATATTTGTTAATGTTGAGTACAGAATGCTAGCAACGTCAATGAAACTTTTAAATGAAAAGAAAAACCTTCAGGGGAAAGGTATGAACTTTGCCCTGTTGAAAGATCGAATGAAAAAAATCGTGGCAAGCATAATCAACTTTGCCACCATTGTCATGGCCGAGGTTATTTTTTTCGGGTCAAAGCTTCCACCATGGCGGAAATATCATAGACATGTCATGATTTTAGATACATTGAGAGAAATATTGATTCTGCACTGCCTGAAAATTTAGAAAATACCTCCTCCTGATATTTTACAGTGTTACTTTGTGCTAGACGTTCGAAGCGCCGCGCTTAGCCGCGGCAAAACTAGAACGAACAAAACGAAGGACATATTTTTAGGGCAAGCATAATGTATAGCGCAGCGGCGCAATTTCAACGTCGTGGAACTCTGCTGGCTGGAACACATTTTTGCCCGGGAGTAGGGGGTGCTGAAGCATATTTCAGCACCCCAATCCAAAAAGTTGGGGGTGCTGCAGCACCCACAGCACCCCCCGTTCCCGCGGGCTTGTTATTTTCGTTTCGGACTATTGAACCTTCGGACTGATTAACCTTATTCTAAATTCGGACTATCGAACCTTCGGATAAATAAACCTTCAGACTGATGAACCTTCGGATTAATGAACCTTCGGACTATTGCATCAAATGTTCGGATTAACGACCTTATTTCATTTTCGGACTAATGAACCCCCTTATGGAAATTTTGTGCATTTGAACTATCGAACCTTTGGACTATTGGACCTTCGGACTATCGGGCGGCCCCCGTTTGTAATACATTGTTAAAAGACGTACCATCACCATTTCCGGCCACCTCTGTTAATCTATTCAGGTTACCACGTTCCTTTCTGTCTGGCTCCTAACCCATACCTCATTACCCGTAATATACAACACATAAGAATGTTACGTCTTCCAGCTATAGTAAATGGTCAAAACAAATGGATGTGGTAAAGACCAAATTCAAGGAGCCGCACAATTCACACAATTTATTTTCTGCGTGACAAATACCGTCATTGTAGCACTTTTGTCCATAATCAAAAATGCTGAGATTTTTCAAGAAAATTTGAAATAGTGACGTCACTGCAACAGCAAATCAGCTTATTGTTACTTAAATGTCACTGATTATATCACTCTTCAATTCCCTGACCCTCAAAATGTCAAATTAATTACTTGGAATCTCATCACAACGCTTTCACGACCTTATTTTCTACAATTAATTACTGTACAAGCTTGGTAGTATATTGTGACGTCATTATTACCTCATAAAGTACCCTTCCTGTCATCTGATTTTTTGCATCCTACCCTATTTTTGATCCTAACACATTGGCAAAGCTTTGGTGAAAAAATGGTGCTTTTAAATACCATGTAACGATCCTTAGCATTTTTGTTACTAATGTAGCTCGCTATAAGATGCCTCACTTTTCCGCTTATCTCTGGAACAAGTTTTAAACATATTTATGATACTAATAATTAATTACAAAAACTCTTTTGCATAGAATTTGAACTTTTCTCTCGACTTAAATCAACATCTCACAATACCACATACTGTATGCATGTTTAAACAAAGTGTCAATGTGACTACCCAAAATCCATGATTCTAGCCTAAAAAACATGTCTTTTGACCAAAAAAAAGGTTTTTTTGACCCACAAAATCACCCTTAACTATATTCAATCCCATGACATACCGCTCCAATAAAAGAGCTTAATGTCTCCTTTAATTTGATACCACATTTGTTGCTGTAATGCTTGTAGTTCTAAAGATTATTATCAATTTATATTTTTTTCATGTAATAATTAGCTGATGACGTCATAATGACGTCATACATGCCCTTCCCATCATCCAATTTTTTGCGTCCGTCTTTTTTTCGAAAAGGTATACCATGGAGATGCTTTGGTGAAAAAATTGTGCTTTTGTCCACTGTGTCACGATTTTTTCACTAAGGTACCTCACTATAATGCAAGTACTTTTCCAGGATTAGAAATTTGATGTTAAGCTTTTTTAAAAGTTAAAAAAAATGTTTTTTAATTGAAGTTTTTGTGTGTTTTAGTATTCACTGGTATCAATTCAAATTCAATTTTAAAAATGTACAGGGAGCTTTCTAAAGCACAAACAGGCGGTGTTGTCGTGCCAACGACCTGGGATAATCGAGGCACACAGACAGAAATGAAACTGGTCAGGCTGACGGACTACACCAGCCCTGAATACACTGTCATCGCCAACTTGTTCTGGGACACCATGGATAACAAGGGAACCATCGTCTCTGTCGAGAGAATACAAAACCTAGAGCTGTGGGAAGACTTCTACAAGTAAGTATTGATTTCATCAGTAGCTCAGGCAGTATGACGCGTATGAGTTGCTGGAACCATAGGTATTGAAGTCGGCAACATCTGCAGTGATCTATGCAAAGATTGAACTTGGGGGCACATGGTATTTCCAAATTTCTGTGTGTGGGCTCATGAACAAGAAAGGGGGAGTTGGGGGAGACCACTGCTAGAAACATCCAAACGCAGTGCCGACTATGTCTGTCCCTCACGCGAAGACGCTATGGCCTTGTGCATGCACATTCAGAAGAAAAAAAAAAGTTGCGTACTTTTTTGCTACACGCGCGCAACCAGTACACCCATGCGATTTGTCCAATTGATTGCGCTCTCAAAGGTGGTTAAAAAGCACCATCTCTTGTTCATGCATAGAGCCATACAACAGCAGCAATGATGTGAATTAAAGTGCAGCACAATGTTCATTCATGTATGTAGAAATGATTACAATTTAAAAAATACAGTCTTTGGCCATTAGGAGTGTCATTGTTTGTTGTTGTTTTCCATTGTTTTGGGTGGCAGTCTTTTTTTCCCAAGAAAGTAATATTAACTGATTATCTGATTAACTGTAGAAAGTGCCAATTGAGGAAACTCATTTGACATTTTGTAAAGGATTTTTTTTACCTTTTATCGCTCGGCCCAGATGTAGTTCATTCACAGGCTTGAAAAATCAAATCAAATCAAATCTCAGACTTTTTTCAGATGAAAAAAGAACATCATGCAGTCCTACAAATGCATGCGATATCTCACGTACTACAAGTCTATTTAGCTGACTGTTGGTTTGTTTTTCTACACATAATCAATGTCCTTATTACTCACAGAATTAGTGAACGAATGAAGAAAAAAATGGCGGCAAAGCTGTCCGTACTGAGCAGCTGTTTCACGGAACGACATCTAAAAATACGCCAGCGCCATCTGCAGTCAGAATTTTGACTGGCGACTCAGCGGAAGTAACGTTGGTACTCGGTATGGCAAAGGCAGCTACTTTGCCCGTGATGCTGTATTCTCCCATAGCTTTACCAAGTCCGACGATCTCAACCACCGCTATATGTTCGTCGCAAAAGTTCTGGTGGGCACCTATACAACCGGCCATCAGAATATACGAGGCCGCCACCCAAAGACCCGCAGAAGCCACTAGAAGACCTGTATGATTCCTGCGTGAACGACACGGCAGATCCCGAGATATATGTCATCTTTGAAAAAAACCAGGTGTACCCCGAATATCTGATCAAGTACAGCGAGGTCTCCAGGTACCAGCCTGCAACCAAAGCAGAGTTCCTCCAACCACAGCCCAAGGACCATTTGGGAACCCATATACCAACCTCTAGTTCCAGAACCCAAAGCCAATATGCCACATCTAGTTCTAGAACCCAAAGGCCATATGCAACCTCTAGTGCCACAATTACCCACAACCCATATGCCACATCTAGTGCCACAACCAAAACCCATATGCCACATCTAGTGCCACAGCCCAAAACCCATATGCCACGTCTAGTTCTAGAACCCAAAACCCATATGCCACATCTAGTTTTAGAACCCAAAGCCAATACACATCCTCCAGTTCCGGGACCCAAAGCCCAACCACTACCCCTTCAACTTCCGCCAACTCACAGAGCGGATACACCCGTGCATCTTCTAATCAGTCACAACCAAACAACAAAGCAAGTGTACCATACAGTAACACAAATGCAAGTACCCTTAAGTGGAGACCAATGAAGGTTTAACCCTTGGTCTGTTGCTTCCAGCCTGAGAACTGTGCATAAATACCGCGTCAGTGGTTACAATGAGAGGAGGGATGTTATTACTGCTATACAGACGTGCTGTTAATGTCAAGATGCTATGTGTTTTGGGCATTCTTAATATGAAAATTAATCATGCTTACTTCTACAATAATCCTTGAACAGAGCAAGCAATTCAATTTAATTCAAATAGACATTTATTTCCATGTACACAATAGATAATGATTATTCATAATCATACAAAAACTAGAAAATTACATTAGAGACTAAAACAAAGCACATATAAGGCCAGGTTCATGCAAGAACTATTGGTACATGTATATATAACCAAGTTCGACTATGTTAGCCCGAACTCTGTCTAGTCGACGATGGGTTGACTACTCTAGTCTAGTCAATATTATAACAAAATTTGATTTTATTATTGTCCCAATTGCACCTTTAAACTATAGAGAGTGCTTTGGCCACAGTGATCTATGGTAGTCATGTATTGCCCCTGTTTTTAAAGTCAGATTAATGCCACAAAACTATTTCTGAGCTTAGTTTGTTCACTTAACCTACTTTAAAACCACAATAGATAGTATTTGGGCTGCAGTCAAACCACAGATGGAGCTCTCATTGTAGTCTTTATTATTTGCTCTCGCAGTGGCTAGGGATATAAGTTCCTCGCCTGTATACCTCTGCACTTTGTGTTTATGCAAATATCTCCAGCAAGAAGACACACTGCATCAGCATTCGTGAAATTCTTCGTGCATATTTTGACCCAGCACTATCAAACTCCTTTGAAAGCCCAGAAGGGCGTGGACTTAATTGTGACTGGGGCATGGTAGTGTGCATAGTTCCTTATTTTCTAAGTGCCTGTACATGTATGGCTAGTTTAACCTTTTTTTGTGCAAGATGCAGTGTTCTTTAATTTGCATCACACCACCACCACCATTACACCAAAGGGTTCATGGTCTGCATAGTCTTGTGAGTATGTTCCAATTTTACCCCCTTGCACCCAGTAGTTTT